TACCATGTTTTGATGCTGTTTAGTTCTTTTAGGGTCATCTTCATCAGGATCATGCCTTTTGCTGCCTTGAATAAAAACCATGTACCTAAAATAGATGACATTAAAATCAAGCCATAAAGGCAGCCAAAACATCACTTAGTCCAGGAAGCTACTGCCTTGCTGCATTTTCACCACTGAGATACTTTTGTCCCTCCCTTCTTTGACATAACTACAAAAATCTTTACATTTTATTCCATGATTATTGACAGAAATGGCATCACTCCTTCACTCCTGTCTTTACAGAAATACTCATTTTTATTCCAGACTAACTCAACATCCAAATGTTGTAATAATAAAAAGAATTTCAAAAAGGTCCAAAACAAAATTCATCCTTTTCTAAGGGTAAGTGCCAAGAATGATGCTTTTGTGATGCTACCACATACTTCCATTATTGGCCAAACAACCATTCTGCATTCAGGGAAGAAAGGTATTTTCATGATTCCTGTAAAAGTCTGCATAGTTTTGATCAAAATAAGGAATCAGTGATGCTAGGTAGGCGTATCTGCACTGGCAGACATCGGCAATAATATTATACATAATTTTCTTTCACTCCTTGTCTCTACAGATCTTACAAACTCCTTAACAGCCCAGCTGATCACACTCAAGGTTGAAGTTAGAGCATTTTGCCTTTGTTTGGTTACCACATCAGTGACTGCTGCTTACCACATGGAGAGTCCTTTCTGAAGGGCAAGAAGGTGCTTTTTGCCTCCAGCAGCCCTGTTCATCTCTTGCAGACCTCAAAAGCCTCTGCTGGCCCTTCAGTATTTTGAACCAGAAGATAAAGGTTTTCAAAGGATGCTTGCTCTACCTACTGCAGAAGCTGAAAGGTGTCATCCAGTCCCTCTTCTATGGAGTGAATGAAACAGTCTCTCTTCTCACTTAGAAAGTTGTAACTTGGAACCTCTGTTCTTGGTGATCTTGGTTGCTTTTCTACTTATATGCCACATTTTTTTTTTTTTTTAAATCCATCCCAAGCCCCCTCCAGGAAATGCAGACCCAGTAGCTGAGATCACACACTGACCTCCTGTCTCATGTGTCTCTATTGGCCACACCTCAGTACTTCCCTATTGTCAGATTGCAGCAGGCAAGAGTTTAAACTGCCAAGGACTTCAACACCTGAGTTGAACTAAAAATTAAGTATGATCTCCATATCATAGGCTAATATGTACAGTCAAACTAGGTCTGATTTTAAATTATTAAAAACTCTCAGTGCCAACTGCTACAGATCCTGCTTTTAACATTGAGATTTAACCAGCATGCAGTAATTACGAGTTAGAACCACATACTTAAAATGAAGAAGCAAGAAAAACAGGAAAAACACCAGTAAATACAACTTTATGCAGCTGCAAAATGCTTTAAGCAGAGAGTTGATAACCTCAGAGTGTGCGATCATTATAATATTGAACAAGCTGTCATTATTTCAAATGCTCATCACAGTGCTCTGCTCTACACTGTTCATACCTAAGACTGCATATGCTCAAGACTGAAGAATCAAAACCATAAGTGTAATAGGTATGTATTCATTTTAGGTTATGTCTTAGGTGGTGAACAAACCTTAGAGCTCTACTCAAAAGCATTTTCCAGTCTCCACAAAAGAACATACAAGAATATGAAAGAATATATGTATATATACGTACACATGTATATGTATATATATATGTACAACAAACAGGATTGAAATATGCAAATAAACATTTTATTTCATAAATTCCTCTGTCAATTTTACACTTAGCAGTGTGTCCAATATAATAACTTATAATAAATAATCATACGATTGAATTTTTCTCTTTATCCAGAAAGCATCACCAACATCCAATGTTCTGCAGATTAGAATCTGGCTTAATGTCTGCAGTGGAATTTTACACACACACACACACACAAACACACACACAGTCATCATCAACTGTTTAATTCTGAATGATTACAGAAATGCAATTGTAAACATTTATTTATCTTTTCATAAAAAAAAAAAAAACAACAACAAACAAAAACAGAGGGGAAGAGGAAATATCTAAATGGTATGTATATACACTGAATTTCAGAGACCTCAGAAAATGTGGTGTAGGGCTAGGGGACAGTAATTGCACAGAACAGGAAAAAAAGCATTTTCAGAGGATCAAAGAAAAACTGACACAACTTTTTCTTTCAATTGTTTTCCCATCTGAATTCTACAATAAATGGAAAATAATCCCAAGATATTAACAGAAAGTCTTAAAACCCATATAAACATTAGCAAAGACACAACACTGACCAGTGTCAACCTCCCCAGGTATTTCTTACACAGGAGTATGACACTTCCAACACAATCCTGACTCTCTTACGACACAGAGAAATTGGTATTAATAATAAACAAGCTCTATCAGCAAGTATTGCTAGAAATAAATCAAAGACTGAGCTACAGTAAGTTCCTAAATCCTAGAGACTTTCTTCTAGATTCTAAAAGATGAAAAATTCTGAACAAAATCTGTAATTGAAAACAGTTATAAAGATTTCAAACAGCTGAAACTAATAATATGGGACTTATGTCATAAACCCAAATCAAACCTTCTCTTTCATATTTAAAGATAAAAAATTGGGTGCGGAAAACTACCTGCAGTAATGAGACTAGCCTGGCTAGTAATAAGTTTCAAACCATGACTATTGTGTAAGATTAAAGGGAAATTAATCATTTTCAGAGTAAAATAATTACTGTGCAGACCACGTATTTGTTTCCTCTCATGTAAGATAAAATTAAACTGTAACTCAGCAGCTACAGTATAAGGAAATTAATGTTAAAGCTGATAAGTAGTATGTCCCCATTCAAATTACTAAAAATGTGTGCCCAAACAGGAGATGTGCTGGACCACATGTGGAAGACATACCGATGAGGAAGCATTAGAGTATAGCATAAGGTAAGTTCACAAAGAAGTGGTAGAGCTTAATATTTTCAATGACAGGATAGTGAAGCAAATGAAAAGGGCACAAGAAACAAATAAATGATAATACGTGGTCAGATGCACAAGAGTTGATTAAAGAACACTGAAGAACAGCAGTAGATTGAATTACATCTCCTGGTCAGTTGATTCTGCCTTCACAGTGCTCATTAAATCCAATGTAAGTATTCACTCCTAACTTGAAAATGAACTAAAAATTACTTGCAAATGCCATCTCAATTTGCAGAACTGGAAATTGTTTCCAGTATCTGGAAAAAATAAAGCAAGTGGAGTGCACTTAGTTATGGCTGGCACATCATTTACGGTGCACTAATAGTCGATCAAGATCCCATCAGCCCAGAGACAGTCCTACTGTCATTGCAGCCTTGATAGTAATGCCAAGATCCTTGGAAGCCTCTGTTTAAAACCAGATATCTAGAACATTTGCACATAGAATAAAAACTGGTGAACAGCTAAAATAACTTTAAAAATTTGTCTTCCAATTTATAGAGGGACCTTGGATTATTAAGTAAAGCTTTTAACTAAAAAGATATAATTTCATTAATAATTTCATTAACAGATGCAAATGAATTTAACTGTACAATTACTGTTTAAGAATTTAAAATCTTTATTCACTGTCACATCCTTTTCAAAACAAAGGTTAATTTCTCTAACACATCAAGCTTCTCACACAGCTTCTTTAAAGAAAGAAAATAAATATTACATCCTTTTCAATTCTACTGCATGTTTAGTATCTTGAAATATCCCACTCCTCTACAGCCTGTTGCTGGGCAGCAAATTAGCTCAGTGTTGCTCTGCAGCATCTTCCAAACTGTTCTTCCTCCCAGTCTTAACTTCTGCATCAGTTATAGAGAAAAAAGGACTATCTTCTAAAGATTCCTACGCTGTTCTTGCACCCCTATGTACAACCTCATGAACGTGCATATTTTTGTCCTTCACCCACCAACTTGTAACCCAGTCATTCCCATCCTTTCACAAGCGCACTTCTGATATTTCACTTACTCTAACTGCCACAGTACTGATCAGTCTGTGACTTGGAGAAACCCATGCTGAATTCTCACATTTCTGCGTGACAGAGCGCCCTTTTGACCCTTTTTACCTCTTCTTTTTCTGTGCAACATAATTTCATAGAGGTAAAGGCAAGCTAGAACACCAGTTATAGTTTTTTTTCCCTGAAGAAAATTTTCACTCAATAGCAAAGAATAGCTGACAAAGAACGAGGATGAACAATATATGAAAAAGCTAAGAAATTTGAAGAAGGTGTGGTAGAGTGAAATAGGGAAAAAGACTCTTAGACAAACACAAGTTTAACACACAGCCCTTGTGATTTGTTGAACAAGTTTAAGCTGCATTAGAAATGAATTCACTGTACCCTTTGCTAACAGCAGGTTAGAGAATTTATATTCTCTAACCACATGCTGCTGAATTTGCAAAAAGAACAGAGAAGTGTCCTCTTGGTCTGGAAAAGGATCTATGCCTTGTGCAATTAAAAGCACATTTGAAGATCTACACTGATGGAGGCAGCCACAGAACGTCCCCAGGAAGCTACAGCAGAAGGTGAGAGGTGGCCCAGTCACGTGGAAAGCTTTGCTGCTTTGGGAAGAGAACAGCAGCTCCTCTCCAAAAATCCTGCACAGTAACTAGAAATCAGAGGACACATTTCTCAAGATGGTAACTTACAACTGAATCTCTGATTAAAAGAGGTAACTTAGACATATGGAGATAAAAGTAGCAGTGCTGAGTTGTGTCAAATGCTGCCAGAAAGATTTTTAGCACCAGGAGTTTTTCATTTTGTCTTTTTCTTTTCCCCCTTCTTCAAAACAAGTGGATATTTTCCATTTCAATTTATCTCCTTTCCAACGCAGTGGATTTCCACTTACTAAATGACAAAGCTGGAGTAGGAGGCTGCTTCTAGAATGTGTGCAAGCTCACAGCTTTCAAAACCTAAAATTCCTTCTCTTAAATCTCCATTAAAAGAAATCCTATGAACTTCTTAAAGAGCAGAGTAAAATAAAGCATACAACTTACCTCATAGTAACTTCGCACAGCATTACAGAACGCTTCATCTGCTACGATTTGTGTCTCCCCATTCAGAAAGGCCTGGAAACGTTCTTTCAGTGTCTGTAGCTGCTGCTTATTGAGCTATGGAAGAAAGAGAGGAGAAGAATGATTACAAATTGAGTTCAGTCTCGAAATAAGACATGCAGCATTACAGTAGCTTCCATTTGTTGTCCAAGCACTACCATCTTCACATTTAACAAGTATGCTCACTGAAGAAAATTGAATAAAGATGCTGAATCTGCAGTGCATGGACTTTAGGCCATTGATGCTACACCACCATGAAGAAGGTCAAACAACCTGACAATAGCAGCCATGAGTCTCCCAGACAGACACTGAATTTCTTTCAGTAGATTTCACATCAAAGCAGAGTGCATTTGAAAGCAGATTCTTAATGGAGAACATTACAAGCCTAAGCCTTGCAAACAACCTGTTTTATTAGAGTTTAGTGTTATGGGAAAAATCAAAATCTCAAAGTACTTCTGGGAGCCAGACAAGCTTCTTACAAGGCTATTTCAACTCCTGAAGTATTCAGTATGATATTTCTCTCCTCATCAAATTTGTGTGAAGTGAAAACGTCACACCAAAGTGGACTCCTACTAACATATACTAATAAAACCGGGCAACAATTAAAGCTAGTTGTTTTGCTTTCTCAGAATTTAAACATTAATGTAAAGCCTTTGTTTCCTAATTTCTGAACTTCAGCATTACAAAAACTCAAGCACAACTGGGAGAAAAGCTTATTCATCTTTCCCGTTTTTTGCCTAGTTAAAATAAGCGTATAGCCAGATTTCTTTTTTCCGAGAGCAGAAAGCTCTATCTGTAATGGCTAACCTGCAACAAATAGCATTACCTCAACTACATCAGTGATTCTTACATTGGAACTTTTTGGCACCTGCACAATGTATGGTGATTTCATGCTTTCAGATATCTAGTCTAGCCACTTTGAAGCCATTTAAGCTAAAGTATTGTTAAGGGATTAAAAAAATTACTGCTATCTTCCTAATGCTCCTACCTTGAACAACCTTTACATCCTTCATAACAAAGGAGGATTTTCATCTTACATCATGCACTCCAGCTCATGTGCTTCTATTTGAAAACTGTCTCCAAATCAAATGCAAAAGCTTTCTTATTTTCACAGAAGACGATCGTATAGATATCATGTAAATGATATGAGGAATCCTTTGAAAAATGGTGAAATGTAGGCAGTAGCAAAGCAAAGCCAGAAATGATGCATTTGAAAAAAGAATCTGAACATTAAAAATAGATAGTTCTGTTCACCATCTTAGTGTAATGATTAGTAGCACAGAACAAGCCCCAGGAAACCTCCACACAAGAAAAGGCCTCCACTTGAGATAAGCAAACGTCAGCAGAAGCTGCTGTGGCTTGGAAGAGTTCCTCTCCAGAGCAGCAGGCCAGCACTGACAGCCTGCCAGCATGCACCACTGCTACCAAAATCAATGTCAGAGAAGCATAGGTTTTGTGTCCACATGTAAACAACAAATGCACCTACACACCCATCTGAGACCTCCATTCCTTGTGCAGAACCTGCACCACAAATTAACAGCTGCAGTGGAAATCAAACGTTATTGCCAGATACGCAGATCCCTTTTATTCAGCTCCCCTATTCTTCTCTCACCTGCTAAAGACTAGACAAGCTGAGCTACCAGCGCACACAAATCATTAAGGACGTTTGGAGCTCTGTGCTCAAAGGTAAACACACGCTTGCTGTCACAGGGGAGCTGAGAAGAGCCGACCTTCGTGCAGACGGTGCGCCCTGCAGAGCGCGCAGCTCCTCCGTCCTGCGGAGCATCCACCGCTCCGCAGCGAGAGCACGCGGGCTTCCTGCCAAAGCAATTATGGAAATGTGTTTTCCTGCTCGCAGACTTCATTCTTTAGGTGATTTGCTTGTCTATTACCCGCATATCAAACAAAAACATTATGAATAAGGCAACGAAATATAAATTTAATTCTGGCTTTCTCATTTCTAACCATCATAGTTCAGCAAACTGGAATGCCTTTAAAATATTTATATATGGCTTTCATATTCATTACTTCAGGTAGTGAGAAATTCTATGATTTGAGTGGCATTTGAGAGTCATTTTATGTTTCTTAAATTACTGATATCTTAGTGTGAAATCTGAACAGTAAGGAACAAAGCTCTTCTGCAAAACTAAAAGTAATATTAATTCCAGTGGAAAAAATATGAAAAACTGTATGTTGCACTAAGAAGCAGTACATTTTACTGTGGGGGAAGATGTAACCGTGAGTCAGCAAAGAGTTTATCAGACTCCTTGATAGACCCTATCAGTGTGAAACCTTGGGAGTCTGGAGTGTAAGACAGAGAGCAAATGGTATCCGTTTGCTCTAAGAGTAAACAGGAGGTTCTTTTTGTATGCATTGTTAATCTTATCACACTTAAGAAACCTTTCATCCTTTATCACTGTGTTTTGGGAGAAGCTAGACCAATCAACTGATTAGAGGGACAGGAATTCCTGGCTTGTAGGTGAATGGTATATAAGATGTATGTTGAACACAATAAGGAGAACGATTCTGAGAACTACACTGATGCTACAAGAAACTGTGAGAGCTCTCTAACTCGACTGGGCAACGACATTTTACATGTCCCCAGTACTGTCATATGCAGAGATGCCAGGACAAAATAAGTTATCACAGCCCACTGCAGCCTATTGGTCCTCTGTTTTCACATCTGACAGAACATTGACCACACAGTGAATTATGCTCCTTTTGTTGCTGGTGGTCATTTTTAATGTATACATAAGCATAAGTCAATCAGCAGCCAAATGTCTCTAGAAAACAAACTAACAGTGGAAGTAATAGATGAAATGCAGGAAGAAAGAGAAGTCTAATTGAGAATCACATAATTGCATATGGAGAATAACAAGTGTCTGCAGAGGGCACCTCAACCAACGGACACAGCCAAGCAGCTCAACCATCCCATGTCTGAGTTATTCTGAAGTCACAGAAATCACAGAAAGGCTTAGGTAGGAGAGGACTTTAAAGACCATCTACTTCTAACCTCCCTGCCACGTGCAGATTGCCATCCCCCAGCTCAGGCTGCCCAAGGCCCCATCCATCCTGGCCTTGAACACCTCCAGGATGAGGCATCCACAGCTTCTCCTGGCAGCCTGTGCCAACACGTCACCATCCTATTTAGTTGCCCACTTGGTCAACAACAGATGAGAAATGAGGACATCAAGGATACCATACGTAACTAGGGTACCATCAGAAGTGCCTAAACTTAAGGACAGTAATTCTGTTCTGCATTGTCTCCTATAAGAGCTCACATAAAGACCACATAGCATCCTTCTATTCCAGAACTTCTCCACTGTATCTGTGCCCTCTCCTCTGTACAGTACCCACATGTAGCTGACCACTGCATTCTGCCCCTCACAAGTACTTCTCTACATCTTACAGTGCCTCCACGCCCACATTTTGATCCTAATAGAAAGAGCCACAAACAGCAAAGTTTTAAAAATATTTTAACATTACCACCTCCCCCCAAATATAAAACTGAATTCAGATGATCACCTGAAGAATGGCGTGAAATCTCACTAATTCTGTCACATCCCATCAACCTGCTTCAGTTTTGTATGCTTCATTTGGATTTTTCTTTCTCAGTGATATGAAATCTGTTGTCATAACTCTGTTTGATACTTCATAAATAGCTCCTGCTGCTTCATGGGAGAATGTATAACTAAATTCCAGCATCTCAGAATATCAGGTTTGATTGCATTCCATAGAATGACTGAAGATTAATAAAGTCAACTTCAAGGGAAAAAAAGATTAACCAACCTAAAATTTGCTTTTTCATTATTGCAGTCACGCAACAGAAAAAAAGTATATATATTTCCCTCCATCCAATTTGCCTTTTACAAACGCTTACATTTATTTTTTTACTTCACAGATCTGATAAACATAGGAGAATATCAAAGAAAATTAACGTAAAAGCTAGAACAGACTTCTCAGAACTATTTAATTAAGAGTGTTTTTTGTTCAAGTTGCAGGAATAGTTTCGCTTTTCATAATGACCAGAGTAATGCAAATGTATCACAACAGTCGCATGCAATTAAATATTAAAAAATTCTCACCTTGCATTTAACACCTCAACAATGTGTTACATATCCCCAGCACATTCCTCCTAAAGCATTATCTTAAAGATTTGTTTTAGATGCTTTATTCCTTCTAATGTGAAACTGGAGTATGAAAACCTAGAGGCAATCCTGTTTCATCTCCCCTTATGCCTTTAACAAATTCAGTAAATGGAACTTACAAACGTGGGGTTTAATTCTATTTTTTGTAAGATGCTGCATTTTAAACATCTAGCAGTTCAGGGAATTGTTCCATTGCAACATGGTTCAATTCATTAAATAATAACTACAATATTTTAAAAGAAAACTCAAGCATATATGGATTTGGAGCAGTAGAACTTTTTCTTTTATTTGAAAAAAAAGAAAAAAGAAAGAGAAAGGAAAATTGTAGCTTCAGAGGAGCTAGGCTCAAGGCATCTTCTATCCTTTCTATCCTTCTATCCTGGCACGCTGAGCAACTCAGTAGCGCCTTGAACATTTGCAGCCAACAACAGCCAGCAAAAACCCACGTCACAACATAAGCATCACTCAAGAAATTTTATCGTTCAAAACTAAGGGTACCAGCAGCCTCCCTGCTCCATGCCCCAGATGCTGCCTTACGGCCACAGCCAGCAGCTGACCCTGCTCCCCGCAAATACAGCAATCCCAGAGCTGGCAGGGAAGAATAACATCGGAGCCATTGCCACCTTGTGGCAGTTCTGGAAATACAGCAAAGAAATAACTGCTGGTTGCAGGTCCTCGTACCCAGAACTGGGATTTGCCTGAGCATCAACAAGCCTTAACGGAACCAAGAGTTCTGCTGCTTATCTACTCCCAACCTACAGTGTAAAATTACCCCTCCTCAGATTATACGGATATTTTAGAAAAATAGCAGAAGGTGATGACTGCAATTAGAGCCAGATTACATACAGGCTACAGACAACAAGGGGTAGGGAGGACCCAACCTAAGAATCCATGTAGCAAGTACGCAGC